CTAAAAAAAAAAAGACTGATGAATGCCTTCAGTGTCTAAACTACAACCTGGTATTGTGGTCCAGTTTCTATATGAGAATTCTTGGCTGGACAACACACACACACACACACACACACACACACACACACACACACACACACACACACACACACACACACACACACACACACACACACACACACACACACACACAGATAAATGAACAACTGGAGGCCTAGTTTGGACTCCTGTGGTTCTCCATGGTCATCCGTCAGGTTTAAGAGCCTGGAAGCAACTCCTACAGCTGGACAAGGCCACCACTGAACTCTAGCCTTCATTCTCAAAAAAAGATTTGGAAAGCATTAAAATTATTTGAGAAGCCAAAACTACATTTGTGTGCAGGAAATCCATCCATCCATCCATTGTCTGAACCCTGCTTGTCCATGCAGGGTCACGGGGGGCTGGTGCCTATCTCCAGTGGTCAATGGGCAATCAGGCGGGGTACACCCTGGACAGAGAGCCAATCCATCGCAGGGCAACACAGAAACACACCGGACAAACAATTATGCACACACACACACTCACACCTAAGGACAATTTAGACAGACCAATCAACCTAACAGTCATGTTTTTGGACTGTGGGAGGAGTGCAGGAAATCCTTGGTGTAAAAACTATATATAAAACACATTTCCTGTGAAAGGCCGTGCCTTGCCTCTCTTTGGAGTAGAGGGCACAGGTATCTCCTCACAACCAAACCAGGGAAGCTGCTAATCTATGAGAACAAAACAATCACCCTTGTTTAAGACCGCAAGAAAACGTGTCCCTGGTTCGAGTTGGGAAATATTTTTAGATTCCAAGGACAGTGCATGTTTCCTGTCTCTATTGTTCCTGCAGTGACAGCGATCCTCGGGGGGCAGCACCGCCACCAGGACTGCAGAACAATTAAAAACAGGATAAAGAGCATAGTAGAAAGTAACCATATGCAGGTGATATGTGCCATGCAAGAGAATGGGTCTGCAGATTTCCATAAAAAAATGTAAACTAACCAGTTTTTTAATGATTTAATGTGTGTGATTCTTTGGGAGGAAAATGCTCTGAATTGTCACCCTTCAGTGTGTCATGCTGCCAATTTCATGGGACCAAATATTTTTACATGTAGTGTAACAGCTCCATGCTGCCACCTTCAGGACTGTTTATGCACTTTACCAGATATCAGAATCAGAAGGGTTTATTGCCATATGTGAGAAATCACAATATTAGAAAATTACTGCAGCTGTGATCAGACCTGTACGTCCCAATGTCCTGAAAGTGTACAGGTCCTGAGAGGGGAGTTTGCTGCCAATGACCTTCTCAGCAGAGTGCATGACACGCTGCAGTCTCTTCATATCTCTAATGGTGGCTCCAGCATACCACACGGTGATGAAAATGTGAGGATGGACTTGATGATTGCGTTTCAGAACTTCCTCGCGGATTGTACTGGCAGGTTGAATTTCTTCAGCTGTGGCCAGAATACTGCATTTGCAACTTCAGACTGGCAGACTGGATTTAGAAAAAAAATTGAGCTGGCATACGTGGCACTGCAGCACGCTTCCTGCACGATCTTGCACAGCTGGAGGAGTGGTGGATCACTTATGTAGACACTGAGTAGGGCTGGCAAGGAATTTCAGCAGTTAGATTAGTTAAAAAGACAACGCACAATGAGAAGATTGGTTTCATTTTTGGTAAGACCACAAATTATTACGGACAATAGGGGGTGCTAAAAGCAAGCTAATCTGCCAAGTGAGCGTTCAGTAACTTCTCAGAACAACCTCTCATAAACCTAATTTACACCACAAGAGGACGCAAAAGAAAATTCTTAAAACTATTTCATCATCTCACACATCAAGTTCTCTTTTTACTTGGACAGAGCCTTGCTTGAAAGGGGATGGATACGATCAAGCAGCTCTCACAACTGGAATTTGCTCAAGAACTAAACTGTTATCGTCTTTATCTTCCGTTTATTTCTAGTTTGTTTGAATGATTCATTTGATTGCAGGTGGGCCAACGCAGAACAAATCTTGAGAATGGAGCACATATAAATACCAGTGACTGAAGAATGAGATAAATACAAAATAAACAGTATGAAATTCACAAAATCTTTTAATATTTATCCAGTCATCATCAATGTTTCACACTAAGATAAATGATACACAGGTGTTACTGATCCATGTGAGCACACACACCTGAGCTCGTGGCTAAGACTTAGCCACTAAGTTTACCTTAACTTAGCCGCTAAGTTAAGCTAAACACAGGAAAAACAAACTCTCAGCAGCAAAGTCTCTCTTTCTAAGACCTGCTGCCTTTCTGCTTGTTTTTGAACGTTTCCAGCTCTACACAGACAGATCACTGAGACAAATTTTGATGCTTGTAAATCTAAAGCTTTGTCTTCTGGCTCAGCTCTCTCTTCACCATGACAGACTGGTACAGCACCCTCATCACTGTGCCCAAGATACTTAGGCCCTGTCCACACGTAGCCGGGGATCTGCCAAAACGTAGATATTTTTCTACGTTTTGGCCTGTCATCCACACGAAAACGGAGTTTTTTCACACGAAAACAGATCTTTTTTAAAACTCCGGCCAAAGTGAAGATCTGCGTTTTCTCCGTTTTGGGTGTCTGCGTGTGGACAGACAAAACCAGAGTTTTAAGCTCCGCAACGTCACTTTCCGCGACAAAAAATGCTGACATCACGTGTGCGACCTGTGTTTACACTAGCCGACAGCATGGATGCCCTCAGAGCTGCGCTCGCTTTATCAATTGTCCAAGCGCTTTTTTGCTTGTTTGTTTTTGCAAGCGGAATTACTGCTCCTTGCGGAAGACCACAGACGAAGGTCGAGGTTAAGAACGGGGGAAGTACTGCCGCCTACAGGTCTGGCATGTCCTTAACAAGTATTTATCCGGGTACGTGTGGACAGACTTTTTTTAAACGAGGTGGTGTGGATGCAAGTTTTTGGAGGGGCGGATATTCGTTTAAAAAAAACAGCTACGTGTGGACTAGGCTTAAACTCCTCCACTTGAGGCAGAGTCTCATCCCGTCCTGGAGAAGGCATTCTACCCTTTTCCGATTCAAGATCATGGTCTAGAGGAGCTGATTCTCATCCCAGTTGCTTCACACTCAGCTGTGAACTGCTCCGAAGGCTGGAGATCATATTCTGATGAAGCCAAAAGGACCACATCATCTGCAAAAAGCAGAGACTTGATCCTAAGGCCACCAAAACGGATGCCCTCAACACCATGGATGTGCCTAGAAATCCTGTCCATAAAAGTTATGAACAGAATCAGTGACAGACGGTTGCATTGGCAAGCCCGACTTACTCTCGGCAATGCAGACCAAGCTCTGACACCAGTCATATAGGGACCTACCTAACAGTCCGTATCAGAGGGCCTGGTACCCCATACTCCCAGAGTACCCCCCACAGGGTACCCTGGAGGAGGCTGTCAAACGCCTTCTCCAAATCCACAATACACATGTAGATTGGTTGGGCAAACTCCCACACACCCTCCAGGGTCTATACCCCCTAAGGGTATGGACCTGGTCCAGTGTTCCACAGCCAGGACAAAAACCACATTGTTCCTCCTGAATCCGAGGTTCGACAATCCGGCGGACCCTCCTCTCCAGAACCCCTGAATAGACTTTACCAGGGAGGCTCAGGAGTGTGATCCCCCGTTGTTGGAACACATCTTGCGGTCCTTCCTGCTTCCTCACAGGAAGACGTACCAATGGGATTGAAGAGGTTTTCAAAGTACTCCGCCCACCGATCTACAATTTCCCGAGTGGAGGTCAGCAGCACACTGTCACCTCACCACTATAAACAGTGTTGGTAGCCGTATGGAAGTCTTGCTCCATGGTCTCACCCAGTTGCTCCCACGGCCAGGTTTTTGCCTCCTTGGTCACCCGGGCTGCATTCCGCTTGGAATGCCAGTACCCATCAGCTGACTCTGGAGTCCCACAGTCCAAAAAGACCCAATAAGACACTTTCTTCAGCTTGACGGCATCTCTACCCATCTGTCTACCAGAGGGTTTCCACCACGACCATGCGGCTGCAGCTCCAGTCAACCGCCTTGACAATGGAAGCACGAAACATGGTCCACTCTGACTCATTGTCTGCTGCCTGCCCAGGAATATTTTGTAAGTTCTGTCGGAGGTGGGAATTCAATCTTCTTCTGACAGGAGACTCTGCTAGATGTTCCCAGCAGACCCTCACAATACGTTTGGGATTGCAAGATCTGACCGGCATCCTCCCCCACCATCGAAGCCAACTCACCACCAGGTAGTGTGTGTCTGCTCGATCCCCAGTGAGTCGTGGCGGACGGCTGCTTATACTGAGCCAGGATCCTATGGAGGTTCCTTCCCGTTAAAAGGGACTTTTCCTCTCCACTGTTGCTAAATGCTTGCTTAGTATGAGGATTGCTGTAAAGTCGCGGACACTAGTCAGTGACTTGATGCAATTGGCTGGGTTCCTTATAGGAAACATTTTACTGATTGGCTTAATGAACTGACCTGAATTGGAATGTTTACTGTGTGAAGTGCCTTGAGACGACTCTTGTCATGATTTGGCGCTATATGAAAAAACTTGAATTTAATAGTGGTTAGTAGATAGCTCTGCCCCTCTCTTCACTCGAGTGTCCAAAACATGCAGCCGCAGATCAGATGAGACAAAGTCGATCATTGAGCTGCAGCCTAAGATATCCTGGTTCCAAGAGCACATAGGGACATCTTTATGTCTGAACATGGTGTTCATTATGGACAATCCATGACGAGCACAAAAGTCCAAATTCAGATCAGAGGGGCCGTTCCTCCACACCACATCTCTCCAGGTCTCACGGTCACTGCCCAAATGTGCGTCTAGTTCCTGTCAAAAGCATGGCTGCCGAGTTCCGAACAAGTTGGAGTTGTGCAACCGTGTGTAGTGATGCTAGGGTCATTTTAGGATGGTGTTGGGGATCATACCTTAGAATAGAAAAAACACACGAGGCATCCAATTACTTAAAAAATGTATTTGTATTTACTTACATACTGGTGTCAAAAGATTATGCACCAAAATGTCACACTGACTCACAATTACAAAGAAAAAGCTTTTTCTTTTTCCTCTATTACAAGTATTGAGAAGAACCTATGTACAGAAAAGAGGGTACGCTGACAAAGTACACTAGAAACGTAGTCAATGATTTCATTCAGGCTTCTGCAAAAAAACAAAAAGGAAATCCAAGACTTAAACTTTCTTTAAATTGAGAAAAGACCTTTGCAGATTGAGTCTACAGTCCAGCATCGAGATGTTTTCTGAATGTGCTTTAAGAAATAAAAACTTAAAAATGCCAACAGGACTGGTTTATCAAAACAAGGAAAATTAGACAGCCGAGTGGAAAATGATCACTTAAAATTCATGTCCTGAAGAAGAAAGCTGATAGGGCTGGAGGAAAGTCCTGGTTATCTTCCTGCCATCATATCTTTCATGTGAGAAAAATAAAAAACAAGCAACATTTTCTTCATTAGAAAGTCTCAAAATGTCATTGTGACAAATCAGGAATGAAAAAAGGCATAAATGTAAATGGAGACAGAGATGGAGGAAAATAATCTAAACTGTGACAGGAAATTAAATGGAAAATGTAAATTACATAAACTAAGAGAAATAATCCGCTCCTCTATTGGCAAATGGGTAAAGTCCAAATGACCCACAACTGGTCCTCAACATCAGAGAACCCGAAACACGGTACCAACACTCAGAGCAACAGACTCATCCTCACTGCATCATTTAGTCTGAGTTACACAGGACCATGATGCTTGTTCACTCACTCATTCATTCACCTATGGCCGTAACCCTCATCAACACGTCTTATAGAGCACAGGAACGAAGGCCATGTAGGTTTCACACCGTCAACAACTAACCATCTTCAAGCTTTACCCAAACAAGCAGAAGCTGCCAGGTGGAAACAGATGTTCTAATGGTGCGAAGCTGCAGAAAGAGGGAGGCGGTTTAGAGACGAACACGGCGATCTCTGAACCGGTTCCTCCTGCAGCCGCGAGACACAAATAACAGAAATTGCAGCGAGGCAGGAGTGGAAAGCTCGCCTCGTTATAATTCAGAACTAAAAGTGTTCGACTTCCTTCCAGCTGGACAAACTGGGATAACCTTCACTGGGTGTGTCACTGTGAGAATCCATCAAGAACACAAAATCTATACAGATGATCTGAGTTCAGCTGATCTGATATCTGGTCTCTGACGTCTGCTTCAGGGTGGGATTATCTTTGTGAGGTAAGGATTTTGTTTTTATACAGAATGCGTCTCTGGTCGATCGGCGGTAGTGTGGGACCAGTTGCTCCCTCCGGGATCCTTTTGCTCCTCCTTTATTCAGTTTTTGCCTTTTTGCTGTCGTTCTCTTTCTCGTTCTCCCCCGTCTCAGTCTCTCCTGCCTTATCCCCCTCCTCCTCCTGGTGCTTCCTCTTCTTTGTGCCATCTGACTGAGAGGGGTGTGGCCTGAGTGTGATAATGATGCAAGTCATGTTGTCACATCCTGTCCCGTCTCCAGATGAGTCAGGCGCCAAACAGTGGTCCAACAGCTGGAAACCATGAATGAGGATTTAGAGTCGACCCGAGACTACGAGGGGGAAATCGGAGCCGTTTTCTTACCTCCTCCACTATGGATGAGAGGGCTCGGACTTTACCGTCTCGGTCTGGTTTGATCCTCTCACTGATGAAGTCCACCACCTCCTGACTGCTTAATACATTCCTGTCGCCACATTTACAGAAACAACACTTTTAACAGGTGTTATATCATGTTTATTGTATACATCCACGACAACAGTATAATGGGGTTAGCTTCCATCCTTTACGGAGCATTTAGTTTCTTTAACCTCGCCCCAACGCAACATCAAGTGACAATAATCACTCACCAAAAAACAAAAACTCTATTAAAACGCGCTTAGACAGATTTATACTGACCAGATGCCATCACAGGCAATGACCATGAAGTCGTGATCCTCATTCAGAGTCAGAACTTTCACATCGGGCATGGCAGAAATCATCTGCTCCTCCGGTGGCAAAGACTTGTTCCTTTTATAGAAGTGGTCACCTGAGAGGAAAGTTCACAAGAAAAAAGTTAGTCATTGTAAAGCCCAATTCATAGTTCTCCAACAGCTCCGCGAGGGAGAGGTGTACACGCATTGACAGACGTTTTGCTGCCAGACTTCTCTGTCTGCTGGGGAGTGTTGCAAAACAATTCCCCACTTGGACAACAGATGGCGTAGTGCTGCTGAGGTATCCTGCCACCATTACAGTCTAGGGTTGTCACGGTGTGAAAATTTAACCTCACGGTTATTGTGACCAAAATTATCACGGTTTTCGGTATTATCGCGGTATTTTTTTTAAACGTGCTACATTTTCACAATTAAATAAACCCTGTATGTCAGGAAATATTGTCCTCAGTTTGTGTCTAAATTTTGCCTAAAATGTGTTTGTAGGAGCCATTATTGTTTTGGTTTAGATTATATTATGGTCCAAGTTTATTTTGACAATGTTTTATGTACATTTCAGTTTATTGCACTGTGGTTTGTATTTCCTTTAACCACTGGTGGCACTGCAGAGCCTATAAAGGTGTTGAGGTGGCAGTGCATTGGCGTTTTCTGGGTGACGTCACACGGTTTTTACCGCTTCGTTTGGTTTCATATGCCACATCTAATTTGCCGTTATAATTTTCATCATTTACATAAACCTGGACAAGAAACAGCCATTCTGGACCCAGCTTGCGATCGTCAACATATTCAATAAATGGGACAATAAACCCATACCCGCTTTCTGCCTGGACAATATTGTTGAAGCGAGTCATTGCCTCCACCCGCACCCAAGGGTGACTAAAAGTGGGACTTGACAGTCACTACAGTGTTATTTTGTAATTATGTTGTTTATTTGTTTACATTTTTTCCCTTTAGTCTTTAAAATACCAATATTTGCCCATAACTTCTTATTTTTTGTCTGTTTGATGTCATCATTTAAAAATATTAGATCAGATGATACTCAGTACTCAAGTAGCCTTCTAATCAGATACTTTTTTACCCTTACTTGAGTAATCCCTATATCAGGAAAATATTGTCCTCGGTTTGTGTCCTTCCAGTGAGCTTTGCAGATTTGGGAAAATGTCATCAGGCAGTAATTATTGTTAAATTCATAATTATTCTCGGAGAGATACCAACTCTTATCTGCCCCTGGGAGCCCCGTAATGCATAGCGTCATTTCAACATGGGGGTGTCCGCGACACGGTTTATATGCAGGTAGCGGCGCTGCGGCTGCTTTATATAGCGACTCGTTGCATTCTCCCTCGACCCAAATCCTCGGATCACGCATTTTAGCTAAATCGCTAACGTTAGCTTGCCTTGCGTTGACTGTAGAGTTGTGGGTGATGGTCACGCAGATGTGTCATGAGATTTGAAGCGTTGCTGCCTTTCACAGACACTTTTTCTGCACGTGCTGCAAACAGGATAGCCGTCTTCTATAAACTCCCTCGGCATTCTTCAAATATCTAAAAGATGCCCGTACTTCCCACTTTGTCTTCTTTGAGGGATAATAAATGTCCTCCTGAGCGCTGCCGTCTCCTCCTTTGGCCATTATTTCACCTTTGGCTTCAAGAAAGTTTTGGTTGTTAACAACAAAGTGCGCATGTGCCGCCGGCAACTTCAGCCGATGATACGGTGGCTGGTAAGGGTCACCGCGCCTACACCGCAGCCACGGTAAACCCACCGAGATAATAGTTTTTTTTTAAAACAAGACTGTTATTATTATTGTCAACTTTTTTACCGGGGTTTACCGCTACACAGGTTACCGTGACAACCCTATTACAGTCATGTACCGACGCACACGGAGAAGTATAAATTAGGCTTAATGCATTCGAGTGTGCTGCAGGTGCATCTATGATGCTTAGGTCACCAACCGATGGCTCTGGAGAGATTCAGTCCACCGTTCACTCGCCCATCCATGGTCACTTTGCCTCCAGCGTTTTTGATGCGAGCCAGTTCCAGCTCGTCCTCTGGCTTGTGGTCATAAGACATGTCCACAGCTTTGCCTGCAGCAGCAGAGACAGAAAGCTGCATTTCAGACAAAATAACTGAAACCATCAACTATTTAGCTGCTGTTTTACAGCAGGAATATTGTGCAGGATCACAGCATCACTAGTGGCTGAATCAATCTGATAGCATCTAAAAAAGTTCAAAGCCAAATTCTCTAAGAACCAATGAGCTGGCAGTGGTGTAGGTCTGCATCACAAAGGCATGGGTCTCTACATGTCTGCTTAGTTAAAAACATTTTGTAACTCAGCATATGCGATAAATATTACTAGGGATGTCTGGACCAAGTGCTATGCTGCCGATCACATGGATACCACCTTGATTTTGAAGGAAAAAAGTGTGCTTTTACTTAAGTTAATTTTAATGAGGAAATAAATACTTAATAACTTTTATCACAAAGCAACAACTATTCAGAATTCAGAAAACACAGATGACGTACTTTTCCCAGGAAGTTGGCTGATAATGATCGGTGACCGATCGTTCAAAACAACACTAAAACTGACCTTTTTCAGAAACGACGCAGCGAGAATCACCAGCGTTTGCTACGATCAGCTGCTTCCCTCGGATCAGAGCTACAACAGCCGTGGTGCCGCTGTCTGAGCCGGGCTGTGGACACAAACACGACAGGTGAGACATTTTATTTCAGAGTTTTGTGCATTTTGACTGAAAATATCTAAATTCTACAAACCTCCTCTTTTCCTTCCATTCCAGGTAAACACATCTCCCCCTCTTCTTCGTCCTCAGAGTCCTCTTCTCCCTCCTCTGTGTCCTCTTCCTCTAATTCACTGCTGTCCCCCTCTTCCTCGTCACTGCCATCCTGGTGAAGAAGAGTAAGATAAACATCCTTGTAAAGAAAAGCTCAACGTTAATCCGCATGAACTTTTGGAGCCCGACAACGCCTTGTCCTGATGATCTCTTCTCACCTCTTCATCGCTGCCCTCCTCCTCCTCTCCTTCCTCAGACTCTTCACTGTCATCAAAGAACCTGGACTTGGTGTCTGCTGCAGCCTTGGAGGACAGAGAAGAGCAGGAAGGCCCTGCGTCTCCTTCAGCCTTCCCGGCCTTTTCCTCCCCATTAGAGCTTCCTGACTCTCCACCTTCACCTACAGAAGGGAAAAACAAAATAAAACCAATGGAAGATAAAAAAAAAACAACTTAAGGGGGAATAACACCAATTCCAAGCCAACATTGATATTTATAGATATCATGAAGGTCATTTTCTGTACCTGAGCTGCTCCCTTCACCTCCTGTTGCTCTCCGACAGGCTCGCAGCTTGGACCCACACGATGCTCCCGCTCCCTCCTTAACCTTCCCATTGCTCCCCTCCTCCCCCACATCTCCATTCACTTCTTCTTTCTTCTGTCCTCCAGCATCTTCTCCTTTCTCTCCAGAGTTCTCAGCTTTTGAGCAGGGAGCCTTCTTAGCTGCCCCACTAAAGAAAAAAAAAAAAAGGTATTAAATAAAACTATAGAAATCAGAAATGCCCTTTCCACAGTGCTTTTAACGCTTTTAATAAAAATTCAAAGTTTAATGGTTTACCCATGAGCTGCGAGGTTTTTGATGGCGTTGAGGTTCTGGCCGTAGCGTACCAGCAGCTCCTCTATGGTCATGGTGGCCTCCTCGTGGAGCAAAGCTGCCTCTTCTGTGTCCACTGAGACAAGAACGAAAGACTGACTCACAAGAGATCATAATGAAAATGTGATTTAATCTAGCAAATAATTTGTTATACCCAGTTTTTTTTTATCTCATTGCACGTAGGATCAGATTTCTGTGATTATACAAAGAATTGTGTTGCACAAATGTTACAACCAAACTTTAATAAACTGGGGGAACCCTTACAGTCATCCTCCTCTGCCACCTTCTCAGCTGGTGGCTCTTCAGTAGGGCGCCCAGAAATCTGTACCAGCTCCTTGATGACCTCCTCTGTGGTCATCCTGGAGTCGATGGCCAAGAATGCGTCTTCTAGTGCCTGAAAAAGCATCAACATGTCAGTTCCACGGGAAACAGAATGGCTAAATGAGTCACATTAAAACAAGAAGCCACATCACAGTCAAGCACAACACATAACTGTGTCCAACTGGCCACACACAACGTCTCACCTTTTGTAGTTTCCCATCTTTATACGCCTTTTGCTCTTTGATGATATCAGGAAGGTACTTTGAACAGTACAGAGCGACCTCTTCACCTAAGTAAAATAAATTTGTTGTAATAAAAACACTTGCTTCTCTAAAATTGTCACTTTAAGGTGCAATTTACCTCCATGTCCATCGTACACAGAAAACATTGCTGTGTCCTCGTCAAACTCTGGAATGCAGTTGTGAGCATCCTGTGACGCAGAAATCAGAGCTATAAAACGCTAAATTAAAGAGTAACTACTGGGATAAGAAAAGGCCTGTCATAAGATTAGATAGAGTGTCTAATTTCCTCATCAGTGGCAACAGAGGCAAAACAGTTCACACTTGCATGTAATGTGTTTGTGACATAATTACAAGCAAAAAGCTCAAAGTATAAACATGAAAATGCTATTTAAGTCCTAAAAATATGAACAAGCCACAAATCCTTGCATTAGTTGCGCTACAGTAATTAGAAAACGTTCCTATTAACACGACTGAAGCTTTCCATGAAATGTTACTTGAACAAACATGGCATGGATGTGTATACACCCCGAAAGTGAGAAGTAATTGTAAGCTGTCATAAATATTTAAGGGTAAGATGGTAAATTCAGGGCTGTCCTCGTGTGTTTGGATTAACCAGAGCAAAAGGTGCAGGGTAATACCTGGCACTACCACGGTATATTTGCTGTGTGCAAACAACCAGAATTTAGGTAAATTTAAGTGGATGTAGCTGCAGCTGATGCTTAGAAATGGTGGTTTGGGGATTTATTTGAGAATAATCTGCTCATTAAAAACAAACCAACCTTTTGAAATTTCTTTTACTATTTTAACAAGTGTGTGGTAAGAACACTAGATAGTATTTGCAACTTAATCACATTTTTAGAGGTGGCAGTGATCCACAATACTATAGTAGTTTTTTTTTAAGTGATTTAAATTCAAAGTTAAATCTGGAGCGGTGTATGGCACGTGATCATTTCTCACATAAAACAGGTGTTTACAGAGGATTCACCAACATTTCAGGGACATTTCTATGCGTGGCTGCTCATAAAATAAGTAAAATTATTTTAAAAATAAATGAGGACTGGAAATAATAATCTTCTTCATATTAAGTTCATTAGACATGATAATATGATCCTATGGGGTGATTATGTTATCTTTAATAATGTGGATGCGGTCTGTAATCAAAATGTTAAATACTAGAGAAAAAACGTGGAAGTATTTGCAGATTTAAATGGTTTTCTCTGATGAAGTCGTTATTTTAAAGCGAGACTATTTCATTAATGAATCAATCGTAGGCATCGCGGCTGCCTCACCTCCATGGAGACCCTCCAGCCCTGCATGGCAGAGAAGCCGAAGCTCATGTTGCTGTTGCCGCCATCGGAGGAGGTCTTGGTGGTATTTGGTTGCGACAGATATGCCCCCATGGTTCTCGTTTACAGTGGCTTTCCGGCTAAAGAGAACACAAAATCACATGTTAGATCACTTTAAGCCAACGCCTTTCACTGAATGGTCTCGTTTTTTATCCATTTGCTGTAGTAACGGTTGCTAACTAGCTAACGTTAGCAACAGCACAACAAAAAGTAAAAGCATCGTCAGCTAGCTGGTGTCTCGGTGCTAACAGGAGCCAAACCGGCTAAACTTCCAGCGGTAACCTCTGCCCCCGACAAGCTGAGCTACAGTAAGCGCGCTTAACTCTCTCCACCGACGGTACGCTTACCTTTTCCGACAGAGAGAGATTGGTTCATAAAAGGTACAGAATACAGATTTACATAGAAATTAGTACACGTGTAGACGGAAAAGCCGCTGTCTTTCCTCCTCCTACTGCTGCGACTTTTGCTCACTCTTCTTTTGCGTACACGGGTGGTTGATAAAACCAGTTTACGTGTAATCTATTGCCATCTACTGGGCAAAAATAGAAACTACAATTGAAGCTGACTACGGAAGTAGATAGAGAGCGTTTACAAAAGAAATATGCATTTTAGACATTTTTTATCATTAAAGTTAGTTGAAAATCAGGTTGAGATATGATCCTAGTTCAACCTGATTTTCTACTAACTTCAATGAGAAAAATGTCTAACTCATGATCACAAGTTTACAGTCACATTTTTTTTATTTCTGAAATAATCTGTATTAACTTTCAACATCAAAAGGACAAACAAACAACAGACTATATAAAAATAACATTTCTGTTATACATTCAGTTAGAATACAATTGAAATATCCCTTATTTTCACACAGTGGTGAAATTAAGGTGAATCCGAAGCAAGTTATTGCATTTAAATGTAAATTTAAATGTATGCAAATATATTCTAACTAGAGGAGCTTACCATTAATGCGCATCGGTACTGCAGCAGCTTTGTGAATACATCGGGTGCATTTTCCAAGATGTTTCACCCCTCTGCATCCTCATTGGTTTGTATTGCCCTGGTGAGTGTGTGTGTTTTTAAATACTGCAAACAAACAAACAAACAAACAAACAAACAAACAAACAAACACATACATGTTTTGTGTCTTTACCATCGACATATATATACTCTTTACTAAACCAACATTTTATGCAGTTTGTTTTCTTCCCAGTAGGTGGCAGTAGTCCAGTGTTTTCTATTAATTTTTTCTCCGTAGAAGAAGAAAAAAAACCAAACTGTGTTTTCAACATGGCGCGGGAAACCTGTGCTGAAACGGACATGGAAACCAACGGAACAGCGGAGGAGGAAACAAATTGTTTCTCTTCGTCGTCTTTAAAACTTTATGAGGCCCAGTTTTTCGGCTTCACCCCGCAGACCTGCATGTTGCGGATCTACAGCGCCTTCCACGACAGCCTGAACGACATTGTGCCAGTAGTGGAGGAGGTTTGTGTCAGGAAGTTGAGGAAAGGCCAGTCGGACAAGGGTGAGGAGCAGCTCCGGTCCAAGGCCAGAGAGTGTAGCCGCCGGCTGCAGCAGTTCATGGAGAAGCGCTTTAAACAGCTGTCAGAACGGATGGAGGCGCTGCTCGTGAGCCGGTGCTTCACCGTTCCGCCAAATGTCCTCCTGCCTGAGGACCAGTGCCACAAGAAATACCCTCAAGACATCCAGGTGAATAGCTCCAGAGCTGTTTGTCTGAAACTATTGACTTCTATCAGTAAAGGCATGCATGTTTATGTTTATGTGTTTATGTTTATTCATTTAGCAGACGCTTTTATCCAAAGGGACTTACAATTTTATAACCTATAGGGCATGTGTGATGTGTGCATGCATGTTTGTTATTGCTTGTCGGGAATGTGCTGCAACGTGAAGCTGCCAGTTTGTCACCTCGAATAATTTATGCTTCACCCAGCATGCACCATGGGTGGATTTAAAAACTTAAATTATCCTGGGGCACAGTGCGCAAAGAGAACGCAGATTCGCTGCTGCTGGCGTGAATCTGCAGCCGTGCCCTTCTTGACGGGTCGTCCCGAAGGTCCGCTCACCTGTTCACCGCTCAGACGTCACGATCTTCTACCTGCCTAGATCATCCAACTGTAACCTGTTTCTGATCATTTCTTTAGTCCCGCTGTAACATTGGTTGCATCAGTCTCAGACGTCATGGGCGCTCAGGTGTTATTAGAACTGTGTGTGTTTACCACCCAGCTTCAGCTCTTCTGTGTTTGGGTCTGACCCAAGTTAGTAAATGTAAGTCCTCCATCAGTTTTTTGCCTCTTCTAGTGTCATTTTAAAGGATTTTATTTATTTATTTAACCATTACTAGATTACCAGCAACAGAAATGTTACTAAAAACACACAATCACGTGAAGCTGGAAAAATTAGAATACTGTGCAAAATGACATTTATTTCAGTAATTTAACTAGACTGAAAGACCATTTAAAGGCTCAGGAACCTTTACAGGTGTTTCTATTTGCAATTATAAATTTTAGCTGATTGGGGTCTTGTTAAATGTCACTGTGTGACATTTTAATAGACTGGTGTAATGTACCTGATTGTAGTTCCTCCTGTTAAGTGCCCATCTATTTTAATTATTCAGTTTTATATAAAAAATATTGGACATGCATTTTATTATGTTACAGTCATTAGTCATTTATATTTCAGTATTGTAGTAATTTATAGTAAATTAAGTAAGTTTAATTAAGAGGGGAACCCATTTTTCTTCTATTCTTTATAACTAAATATTTATTTTTCTTGGTAATTAGTTATTTATAATCTTGTAACTTGGTAAGTAACTGACTTACTTTTTTGACAAAGTAATCAGTAACTATAACTAATTACTTTTTAAAAGTAACGTTCCCATCACTGCCAATGTACTGATACGTTCTGGCTCCTAATATGGGACTCACCCAGAAAACGTCTAGAAGGCCTGCTAGTTACTAGGCTTTTCTACCGGATACGTAGGTAATAACAAACTTATAAGCAGATGGCTAACGATTTGTCCAAATCCTAAAGATGACTGGATCTTTTTCATGAATTGATAAAAAAAATTTGGTTGTCAATGAAAACTCACTTGTTCAAGCTGGCTTTTGTATGACGTTCTTCACCACTCTCTCTTTATTCTGCTCTCCCCACCTATTCCACCTTCCTCAGGATCCACTGATTTCCCTCTTTCCTATTCACTCTCTCTCTTCCTTAACGTTTTTTTAATCACAATTGTCAATTTTTTGCAAATTTCAAATTTATTTTAACCATTTTCTAAATTCTTTTTTATATTTTTACATTTGTTGTCTTTGTGAAGCGCCTCGTGATTTTTATCTTGAGAGGCGCTATAGAAATGATGTTTTCTTCTTCTTCTTCTTCTGCTGAGATGCTCACGGAGAACATCACCCATTTATAACATATCCCTTTTCTACTCAGGAGATTCTCAAGCTTGAATCGTCCATGGCGGACCTCCATGGAGCCTATGAAGCAGAGGTTTGTGCCAGACAGGCTCTGCTAGCTGAGCTGGAGGAGCAGAAGGAGGTGCAGAAGCAGATGGACGGGATCCTGGAGTGGGTCATGGAGCTCCGAGCAGCCTGGGTGAAGGATGGCAATGGAAACTTCCAGGAAAGTTTCCAGCTGGCAATGATGTCCATAAAGAAGCTGCAGGAGGCTGTTGAGCAGGTTCTGGTCTGCAGCAGAACTCTCAAGTGAGCTTATGTGTGAGGGGCTGATGTAAAAAATAAACCAGACGAGTCAATGTAAGAAATATGGAGAGTTTCTCCTTTCTATGGCTTTGTAATTGTTATGTGATTTGCTGTTTGTGGACACTTGTTTTTATTTGTGAACTTCACATTAAACACCCCGGTCTGGGAATGCAGACTTCTGTTATATCCAGCAGATGGCGATCTTTGCAGCCACATCTGGACTCAGTTTGGGAAAAGTACCCAGCTGGAAAGAAGAGGTTTGTCTAAAGTGATAAATGTGATAAACAGATACATTTAGCTTTTATTTGGTTATTTCTGTTATCACAAATGAATATTATTAATATTTTACAGTTAAAATGATCATTAACTGGGGTGGTGACAATTTTCCCGTCATTCATTTTCAGTGTTTTCAGAGAAGCACATTTTTTGTTCACCTGTTAACTCTTTTTGTAAAATGCAAAAATATTTTCTTTCCAAATTAGTTAAAACAGCTATTTCATAATTCTTTTGTATTGTTTGTACTTCCACAGAACTGGTCCAACAGCGAGGTTAACTGTTTGAGCCTTGATGCTAATTTTGCAGAAGTTTAACCTTTTCAACTTTTGCCTTTAACTGATTATTTGACTCTATCAGAAAACTCTTCACCCTGAGCCTTTTTCAAAACTAACAAACTAAAGGCCTTCTTTGTTTATCTCTCGTTTCTTCATAGAAACAGGTTTGTTTAGGGTTTGTGTTCCAAAGAGGCCATGCACCAATTAACCTGGTATACTTTCTGACCAGTAGGGGGCAGCATGTATTTGTTCTCAGTTTCCTGCCCATCTTGTTTTCCCTGTGAACTGCCCCACCGTGGCTAATGTTAAAATAAATAAAATACACTTCATTTGATTTTTGCATTATTAATTATAAAGTATTTACATTTTAAACAAATGACCAGTTTGCACAAGCTTTAACTAAGAGATTCATCACTCACACTGAGGTATGATTTATTTTTGCTGCATGCAGGGTCTATTAGTATTTCTGAGCTCATGTTTATAATGCCAACAACAACACAAACAGACTGAGCGTAAACAGTCAACATTTGTTTCAGCGTTCTCTGCTGAGAGAAAGTTGGTCCAAATGGAGAGGTGTGAAAAACACTTTTTGTTTTCTTTCCCAGCAGAAACATTCATCTTGAGTTGGCCAACAGTACCCACTCTAGAGCAACCTACTCTAGAGTGGGTACTGTTGAGATAAACTCAAGATGAATGTCCAGTAATCGGAAGGTTGCAGGTTCGATCCCGGCTCCGACCAGAGAACTCTGCTTGTTGTATCCTTGGGCAAGACACTTAACTCGCCTTGCCTGCTGGTGGTGGTTGGAGGAACCGGTGGCGTCAGTGCTCGGCACTCCGTCAGTGCCCCCCAGGGCAGCTGTAGCCACCTCGTAGCTCATCTCCACCAGCGTGTGAAAGTGTGTGTGAATGGGTGAATGACTGATTGTGTTGTGAAGCACCTTGGGGGGTTGTAGAACCCTAAGAAGGCTCCATACAAATACAGACCATTTACTAGATTTAAACACATTTAAAGATTTATCCAGAAATAAACATGATTTAGAAGCTTCAGAGCAGGTATCATCACAATGTGAACTTTAGCCTAATTTAAAAGCATTAAACAACTCAGATTTGAATGAGTTTTATGGTACGAATGGTAAAAACAATGATTTTCTGTTTGTGTCAAACCCAATAAAATCACTGACAGGTAAAGGTTTGACCACCTTTTGTCTCCTGCTGTGATTCGTTCCACTCTGCGGCTGATTTCTCTTCCCTTGCATCTGGGGGGGAATCATTAGATTTATGACCATGAAGTCACTTACAAGAAGGAATGCTTACATCCTGGAAAAATTCTTCACTTGCCACTGGGTTATTAAGGAGTAATGCTGTTTCTGCTCACGAGCTGAGCTTCTGAATCCTTTTCTGCTTTTTAAAACCTCATCTTGTCTTGCCCTTTTGTTTTTCCTAAAATGACGTTTCCTTGGTTTGCACGCTTAAAATATTACATTTTCTAGTGAGGTCAAGACCACACTACCCGAGACTAATACTTCACCAAGATCAGAGAGAACAGACACAAGACCACATAAATCAAAGAAAACTTAAAACAAAAAATGTATTTTTTGAAGTTTGAACATTTTTTGTTAACATTCTTGAAAATTGGTCTTTCCTGCATGAAATCACACCTTAAATTAAATCAGACACAGTTGAACTAAAACTTGTGTCATGCAAAGCCTGAACATCATGGGATAAGACTTGTTGCTGAAGACCTGAAAGACCACGAAAGCGAAGATTTAAGGAGAGCTTGGTTACATTTTAGAAACATGCCTGACCTCCAGCATTCTGTGACCTAAACATGCACGGTGGGGTCTCATGATGATGCCTCCTCTACTGAAAACCCTCTCAAATGGTGCAGAGGATGCAGGAACTCACAGAACCTTCAGTGCCAAGTTGTGTGAATCTGTTTTGGTTTTTGTGCCAGAAGACCAGTGCATTATCAGTGCCAGTGTCCTATATAGCATCAAAGTATTTGCTTATCTGTGTCCTGATGCTTGAGCTGTGCTTTTTGAGAGCTTTGTAGCTGGAGGTGAACCAACTGATGGATCACAGGTATTTCCATCCTGCTATGAAGGGCATACCTTTTATTGAAATTTAGAATTGGAGCTGTTGTAAATGTCTTAATTTGTGTTTCCTTCCTAGAGAGAGAAATCAATAGAAGAAGCCAACAGAGATCGTTTTAATAAGGATTTTAGTTTTGTTTATCTTTGCAGCACATGACCTTTAACCTGGAGCTGAACTGATTTTAAAGAATAACATGATGTGCATTGTTTAGACCCTTTAGGATAGGCATCCTGAATATCAGTGCACCGTTTTGGCTCATTTATTCTTCTACTCTCACCTTTCTCGTTGACACATTGCTCAGTAATAAAAGACAAGATGGAAAAAAGAAAATTAACTTTATTTTGTGCTAATTTGATTGAATTAGACAAATAATTGGTGTAATAACTGGTTGCTCAATGGGAGGAACATATTTGTTTTTACTCATGTGTTGATAAAAATGTGTAGAAGCCCATGAGCATTTAATTAAAGATGAGTGTATTTGCGTGTAAATCAATGAATAAGTGTGGCTGTAGTTGGTCAAGCCTCTGTGTGTACCTGTTTGTGATGATATCAGTGTGTGTGTTTGTGTGAGTGTGTGTGTGAGCGTGTGAATCAGAGCTTGTGTGTGACTGAAGACAGCATATGGACAGTGCCCTCCTTCCTGTTGGGAGGGGAACAGCGTGGCTCTCTGTGAACCACAGCTCGACCTCTGACCTCCAGGGATCACACAAAGAAAGCGAAACACAGCCACACACACAAACCTCCAGATACCTCCACACACAGATATACGTCCACTCTCAGCCGGCCAGCTGTCCTCACCAACCGAGTGTCCCGAGGTGAGAGTGACAGTTCAGCAGCCGGGCAGGTTGTTTTTTTAATCTCTGAGGAATCCACTCAATCCCACGTGTCACCCAGCAGGGGAAGCAACACACCTCAGCATAACCTTTCTCTGCAGCTCTAAAACAGCTTAGATCACCATAGCATCATCGGTTAGGAGGAAAGAAATCATTTTGGAATGATCGCATGTTGTCTTGAGCAACACAAGAGTCATTTTGGGTTTTATGTTCAAGAAAAATAATAATACAGTTTATTTATTGATGCTTCTGACTCCTCAGTTTACCTGGTACTGGCATTATCCAGTTGCACAGTAACATCAGTGTATCACTATATTCAGTGTGTGTTCAATACTTGTGCAAAAACGAGGCGATGGTGGCACAGGAATTAAGTGCTTGCCCTGTAATCGGAAGGTTGCCGGTTCGAGCTCAGCTTTTCGCTGTCGTTGTGTCCTTGGGCAAGACAGTTAACCCCCTTGCCTGCTGGTGGTGGTCGGAGGGACCGGTGGCGCCTGTGCTTGGCAGCCTCGCCTCTGTCAGTGCGGCCCAGGGCAGCTGTGGCTACATTGTAGCTCATCCCCACCAGCGTGTGAATGGGTGAATGATTGTGTTGTAAAGTGCCTTGGGTGGTTCCAGGACTCTAGAAGGTGCTATATCAAATACAGGCCATTTACCATTTACCAATAACAAATGTACGTTAGTGTGTTTGTGTCCTTTATGCTGCATAGTTCTGGAAACACATGTTTCTTTTTTATTTGTTGTTTTTAGTGGTTGAAGGTTAGAATATAATAGCTTATTGTCTTTGTGTGTTTACCTGTAATCTTTAAGTGTATTTGCTCCTGTAGCAAGAGAATTTCCCCACTGTGTGACTTATAAAGACTGTTCTATTCTATTCTATTCTATTCTATTCTATTCTATTCTATTCTATTCTATTCTATTCTATCAAGTCACCCAAGCTAACCTGACAAATGGTAAAGAATGAACAATTACAGGTAAAAGAAAATAGAAAAATAAGAATAGAAGTATTTTGGTTACATACAAAATAAGTTATTTTCTGCCTGCTTACATTGTATCGTTGAAAAGAAGCTACAAGTGTATTTATCTAAAGAAGCCTCGGTCTGACATTTGACTGACATAGAAATTAGTGATGCACCGATAAGAAATTTTTGGGCCAATACCGATATTCGATATTGAGATCACTGTTATGACCGATAACCAATATTCGCCAATACCGATATACTGACATTAATGCTTCTAAAATCAGCAGATTTCGTATAGAATGAAATCATTAAAACTGAATTCACGTTATTATGTACACACCACACACATTTGCGGTTCTGAGATGATTTCTTTCACTGTTCATATGACTAACACCCCCCCCCCCCCCCCCCCCCGGAACAGGCCAACAAATGGAGATGAGATGGAAAAAATATCGTTTGTTAATATCGACCCAGTTTTATTTATCGAACTGATGCCTATATTGATGCCGATATATTGTCCATCCCTAATAGAAATAATTCCTGAGGCTTTATTTACTTATTATAATTTTGTGCATTTTGAACAGAAAAACCTCACTGAGCTGCGTTTATCAACCCAAAACAATCCCTTCCATCATCATGGCCTTTATGGTAGTGCTGGGGCCATCCCTCACCAAAGGCATGTCCCAGCTAACTGAGAGCTTAAATAAACACTAAAAGACTATTACACCGGCACTAGCTGGCCCCTGTGATCTGGTTTGAAGCCTTATTTTCTAAATCCCTAAATGTAAAGGAGAGAGGATGAGAATCAACCAATATATGTCGTATCATCATTCTGGGTGTTTCATTCATCCCTTCTGGAGAAACACACCGAAATCAACGTCCTGGGGTCTGAAACGACTTGGACTTTGAAAAAAATTAGTTGATTCAGCAAGATGCTTGCCCTGATTGATCTAATTAGAGCAGGGATAACCAATTCTGGTCCTCGAGTGTCACTACCCAAAGTGTTTTAGTGATTCCCTGCTCCAACACACCTAAAACAATGATTGCATCACCTCCTCACCCGTTTTTAAGCTCTGTAGAAGCCCATTGATCATCTAGTGATTAAAATAAGGTGTGTTGGAACAAAGAAAACATTAAAATAGTTGAGAAGTATGAGAAGTAAAAATTGAAAATAAAACTAAGAGACTGGGAATGACAGAACAGATACTGTAACTGGGTGGTGAGTATGGAAGCCGAAAAATAAATCTAAAGCAGGGGTAGGGAATCCTAGTCCTGGAGAGCTGCAAACCAGCACATTTTAGTGGTTTCTCTGCTCCAACACACCTGATTTTAAGCAGCAGGCGATTAACTGGCTTCTGTGGAGCCTGGAGAGCTGCTGCACAGGTGACTCAAGTGTGTTAAAGCAGGAAAACCTGCTGGTTAAACTGATTTTTACCATAAATATTGGA